TTCCAATATTTTACCTTGATTAATCTTGATTAATTTATAAGCATATTAAAACTGTACTTTTAAACTCATGAACATCAATACATCCATCTGGTAGCACAAGATGATCTACAGATAACTTGGGCACTACGGAGGGAAGTCCCCAAAAATGGTGTTTAACACACACAAAAAAATTGAAAAATAAAAAAATTGTTTGTCTTTCAATCCAACCTCTTTACATCCTCACATGCATACATAAGGTCTGAAATTCTGAATAAATATAAAGGGTAATTAGTTTATGACCTGCAAAATTAAAATCATAAAAAGTGGTGTGGATTTAAATTTCAGGGCTTATTATGGACACTGTTCTATACTACCCATCCACATATGCTGCGAATTGTGGTGGACACATCAAATCAGGTGACAAATTGGTTTGACTAAAGAACTGATCAGGTTAAACATTTTTAATGTATTTTCATAATTATATTTGAGGTAAGGGTTATTTAATTAAATATAATATATATACAAACCTTGCCAGCTTTCAGAACCCTGTTCACTGCATTGCGAATCATGTCACAATAATACAGAAGGTTCACATGGCTCAGCATTTTTGCTGAACACAGAAGCATTGCAGTGGGATTTGCTACATTCTTTCCTACTGCCTCGGAGTATGTATGCCTTGCACCCTAGACAAGTAAAAGTAAAAACACTGTCAAAATCTCAATGCAGTAATCTGGTTATAGTAATAAATATGGACAGATAACCTGAACTTATATCAGAATGCATTACTGAGAACTTATAAACACATATAAGTAGACTAACCCTTTCTTTCTTGATTTATTCAACACCACAACATCTGCCAAGATAATATAAATAATAAGAAATAACAAAATGACCGTTAATGTTGAGTTTGGAAGGAAGTGCTCATGGCTTATATTTAAGTAGTATTTCAACATCTGCCAAAAGGACCAAGGAAAACAACACAACACTTTACCCAGCACAGCCAGATTCCTGGCCAGTATTCATACATTATTACTATTAAAACAGAAATACAATAAAGGAATCTTAAGAATAAAACATCTTTTAAAACAAAATTAAATTTAGATGATAGCTGTATCCAAGTTGTATATACCTGTAATCAGCTCCACCATCACGGTTTCAAATAAAAAAAACTATAGGCAACTTATTATGAAACTATTTTAAACTGATGCACATATCTTGATACTTTTAACTTGAAAGACTTTAATGTTCATTACGATTATGACTGTACTGCCAATGAGATAGTATGGCTATGCCAAAAAAACAAATGGTACACCATGAAAAATTCTACAATGAACACAATAACAGAATCCTTTCACTGCCATGACAATTCTTCCTCATTCCAAACAAACTTAAAAAAACAGAGGACTTCAGAATATGAATATTTTATATCATGCTTGGATTAATTCTGCCACATTTTGATCTATACTTGGTGACATTCATTTTTTCAATATTTCAATAGAAATTTAAAACTAAATAAAAATATCAAGTACTAATTGGTCAAGATCATGCATAAGTCTGCATAACATCACTAAAATTGTAAAAGTACAAAGGTAGGATGGTGTCTAATAGCGAGATGCTCATACCAAGACTCACAAATATCAACCAAGATGTTCAAGTCATTCTAGGTGGACAGATATATAATAACAGAGACAAACTAAGTCAACATGATGATACTGGTGATACTGTAAGTCTATTCTTCCTTACACAAAAAGAAAGTGGGCTAAAAACTGTACTTACTGGTTCAAAGACAACACATTCTGCACTGTAGCTGGCTCCTGCAACTACCCCAGCTCCCCCAACCAAACCAGATGCCAAGTTATCCACAATGTTGCCATACAAATTTGGTGTTACCATCACATCAAACTGGCGTGGATTGGAAACCATCTGCATGGTACAGTTATCAACGATCATGGTTTCAAATTCGATCTTGGGATAAAGTTTCGCAATCTATTCAAGAAATTGAGAAATAAGTTTAGAACTTTTTATGAAGTTGTTAAAAATTAAGGAAACATGAACAAAGCACCAATCTGAAAGAAAACCAAAATCCATATCTTCATTATGCTTTCCCAGATTAACACTAGCTCCAACCCAAACAGGGTTTCCATTTTCTTCCCAATGGTCAGATGACAGTGAAGACATTGATGATACATCTTTAACATGACATCCATTCCACACATAGACACAGTAATTTTTACACTCTAAACTTCTCACTTTGTCAGAGATAAGAGAAGGGGAAGACAAACGTATGGGAACTGCCTGGTTGTTAACAAGATACTACGTGGAAGGCCGGCAGATCACCAACAAGGTCCCCACATCCTACTAGTGCAATTGCTGGATCCAGAGCATGTTCTTATTTTCTTACCACATAATTAAATACTGCATTAATATACCTCTTGACAGCTCTTCAGGAAGAGTCCATCACCCAACTTCATGATGTTTGCTTTATGGACAGCTGTCACTTTCTTGCGATTGTTCCTGGTTGCATAATCGAAAGCAAACTTAGCTATGCGCTCAGATTTGACTTTTGTTACAATTTTCAAACATTCGACAACACCCTGTAAAATAAAAAATCGAAAACCTCAAAATTTACATTAAAAATATATACCAAGGAAATTTACTGCAAGCAAATGCTGTGGCTGAATAGTTAGTATTCCTGCTTCATATTCAGTACATCCCTCATTCAAATCTCTGACTGAAGAACAGATATCATTACACATTTCTGTGGTTTTCCCTCACATAAATCATACTGTGCAGGGTCACAGCTGTGATGAACACATCATGTCATCACAGTTCATGCCAAGGCACATTTATAGCTCATTCTATTCCTCTGGTTGTTCATAATAAGCATTAAACTGTTTGGCATGTGTCAATGAGAATATTAAGAAGACTGCAACAAAAACTCATCATTTGATGGAAACAGTATTTGGATATAAAAGAATGCACTGATGAGCTTTTGAGAGGTCCATCCTCCAAACAGAGAAGAATGTCAATCATGCACGATAAGTGTCTCATGATGAATCTGTAGCTTAGGTGTATGATATAATGTGACATTCTAGACAAATGTCTACTCACAAAATGTGTGAAGTGACAGGAATTTATTATGGCTCATTTGAAGCCTTTTTAAAGGAAGATTTTTGAATGAGACATGCCTCAGCCAAATTCATTCCATGACTGCTAACACAGGAGTATAAAGAAAACTGTTTTTCTGTACTTTCTGACTTGGTTATGCAAAAGGCGATCACAACCTTGTTTTCTTTAATTATGAGTACTGTATATAAACAAATGGAAATTGTGCCTGACACAACCTAATGTGTTAGTTATAAACTCTGTTAACTATTTAGTAATGGATTGTTTTCCTCACAACAAATGTATACACAGCTCTTATATACCTTAACACATTCATGTTCTAGTGCAGAATACTCTCCTTCAGTCTGCTCACGTATGATAACAGCATCCACATTCTGGTGGCGACACTTCACACCAGGCAAACTCTTCACATGCACTACATTGGCATACAGGTCTAATGCATTCCTCAGCTTCATATTCAGTGACGCCAATTCCCCAGTATGACTGTAATCAGGAGTTGCAAGGATCCCCTGTACAGACATAATATAGATACAGTAAACCCTCAATTTAACAGACTAACAGGGGGAAAGGGTTGTCTGGTACTGCCAATTATCTGTTACCTTAAGACAAATACGGTTGGTAGCAATGGATTTAGCTACATCTTCCAGTGGAGCACTCATTGTGTGATGAACTTCTGAGAAGAAAAATGTTTCAAAGTCCACTGGAACGCCAGCAGCCTGAAATAAGCACAACATTACAGATTCATGCAATAAGAGACAGAAAACTAAATTTATTATTCTTCAATATATCTCAGGAGAAAGTCTCCAAAAAGAACATTCAGATTCATCAAAACTTAATAAATTGCATCCTCATTCAACAAAAAGTCCACATCTTTCACCTTTACTGTCTACGTGACACAGCTTAAGCATGATCCAACCTGTGTCACACTGTTAACCCCAAAGCCAAATCTAGCTGGCAGCCAAATAATAGAGGGTTTAAATCCTCTGTTACCCTATGGTAAAGGTACAGACAATGTTACTTTCTTGGTGCCTTAGAAATATACCATGCCAATATTTATCACTTTCAACACAATATACTTCTGTACTGATCATAATGCGTGCATTTCTATAAAGCTATCTGGCCTCACTTCAACCTGTATACAGGTTGTGACCCAACAATAATTTAAATCTTTCACATTACACTTTCAGAGTTTACAAACAGAATTTTGATTTTATAAATCTATTACATGTATGTCCAGTGATGAGATATCCATTCAACCTTCCCTGAGTCACCCTGAGATATAAACATTTTTTTGTTTTCAGAAGTAGGCATATTCCTACATTATGAATTAAAGGATTAAACTGTGAATGCATAAACTTGCCTTGAATACTTCTTGTACAGAGTACACCAGCTCAGGTCCAACGCCATCCCCAGGAATCAATGTACACTTTGTACGACCTTCTGGCTTTGATACTGGTGCTTGCTATTAAAGAAAAAGATGCATGGTAACAATAAACATGATAATCATTCAACATAAAATATTCTAAAAAACGCTGTGCAATATTTAAGCAAGGCTCTACAAAAACTAGATCCCAGATCATACAGCAACGAAAGCATAATACCACACACAAGTTATTTTATAGCACACATACAAAAATATTACTATTTTTATAGCTTTATAAAAAATTCTCAATGGACAACATAAAATACAGCATGGGTTAAAAACCAAACTCATGAGTTCATGATATATTCATGTAATCCCCCAACCCCTCACCCATTTGTGTCTTTTATTTAGTTCTAAAAGGCGAAGAAAACACCAACAATTCCACATGAAAAACCTGATACAGTTAAATTTGGTTCATATCTTCACAACCTGCTTTCTTAACGCATTTTAACATTATCCTCCCATCTTGTTTTTGGTGTTTCAAGAGATTTTCTGTATGCTTTTCTTATTTACCTATTAAATCTACAGTACATCATACACTCAATGATACAACACTAAATGAGTAGATAAATTTCACAGTTCATCACAATTCACTTATTAATTGTCCTGAACTTCATTTGACATCTCACACATACACACATTATTTAACCGAGCCAAATTCTTGGACATTCAAAATTCAACTAAAATGGTGGCATAAAGTGTATGAAACAAATTACATGAAATTTGCTACTAAGAACAAGATATGTCCTAGTTTAAATATAGTTTTGACAATACATTAATTGAGGAAGTAGAAGCAACAAATTCCTTGGCTTACAAATTCACAATAACTTAAACTGGAATGGGAATAGTAGTATATTCAGTGTGTTTCTTCCAGTTTAACTGTTCTTCATGCTTTACCATGGGAACAGTTATATCACTCATGACAATAAATACTTTAAAATTGGTCTGCTTCGCTTATGTCCATTTTGTACAGTCATATGGGTTAATCTTCTGGGGAAATTTAACAGACAGTAATACAGTATTTTACATCCAAATGAAAATAATTAGAATAGCAGCAGGTGTTTAAAGCAGAACCATATCAGGTGGGTCCCTTGTCACCACAGCATGGCACATCCTCAGGATACAGATGGAGAAGGCCTCCAGATATGAAGGGTAACCGTGAATGAGTTTAATGACCAGTCACGGACGGCCAAAAAGGGGTGGCCCTCCAGCTTGGGGGTTGGGCTAACAACTCCTCATCATAAATACTTATTTAGCCTTAGGGAGACAGGAATCGATGGAGCAAACTGGATGAAGCTGGCCCAGGATAGAGGCCAGTGGTGGGCTTTTGTGAACACAGTGATGAACCTTCAGGTTTCATAAAGAAAGATGGCTATTCTTTGACAAGCCAAGCACAATGGACTTTTCAAATAATATCCTGCACCATACAATGAGTGAGTGAATTAAAAGCAGTGTCTCCTGTAGAAAATTATTTCAGAAATTTACTATACTTCCACTTGCAAATTAATTCATACCCTGCTTTCTATCATTTGTGGTGGGAAAACATGGACAAATTTAAAAGAAATACAGATGTACACAATTATACTCAAGACATAAATATGACCTTCATATGCCATGGCTATTCTTTGACAAGCCAAGCACAATGGACTTTTCAAATAATATCCTGCACCATACAATGAGTGAGTGAATTAAAAGCAGTGTCTCCTGTAGAAAATTATTTCAGAAATTTACTATACTTCCACTTGCAAATTAATTCATACCCTGCTTTCTATCATTTGTGGTGGGAAAACATGGACAAATTTAAAAGAAATACAGATGTACACAATTATACTCAAGACATAAATATGACCTTCATATGCCAAATACTAAACTCATTAAATATCAAAAATGAGTATACTATACAGGTTCAAGCTATTCATTAATCTTCCACCTACAATTAAAAGTTTAAATCATGTTATAAAGTATTCAAGTATGCATTAAAAGATTACCTCTTAACAGTCTACTCTCTAGATGATTTTACCTGTTGAAAATTCTGAAGTTTGTGTATATCTATATGTGAAATAAGTTCTATACTTGTATTATGGCATGCTCTACATCCTTTGGTTTAGCCCAAAGGACCTATGGAAAGTAAATAAACTATAACCCAAACAACAATTTCTGGAGTGCCAAAGCATGTAAAATGAGACATGAGAATATTATTCTCCACAACTTATTTCCAACAATAATACCCATTTATTATGGTAATATCTGTACACCACCTCTTATATCTAACACTACACTAGACATGTTTGTCCAGGAATACTTTAGCAATATACTATACACATTACACTATTAAATTGTAATAAAACTTGAAACACTCCAGACCTCCAAACAATAACTTACAATGGCCGGGGTTGTGGGTGACGGATGAAATGTTCTTGTACATACTACAGGAACAGTTTGTGAAACCTGTAAATAAAGTGTAAAAACCGTAAGCACAAATATGGTTGGCAATTTTTACAAAATCTGCTAGACATAACACAAAGTTTTATCAATTTACTCATAAAATGTCTAACGATACTACTAAATCTGTAAAATGAACAACTGTACATATCAGTGAACATATTTACTCGAAAAAGACTTTTACAAAACTGGCCACTACACAACGCCATTTTGGAAACTCAATTCCCACTCCATGGATTTAAAAGCACAGAAGACTACACATGTAGTACCTTTCTTACACGTTCAATTCCAGTGGATACTCGTGCTAGCTGTGGCCAGGTGTCGTGTCGTTATATATTAGTACATTTACGTATGTTTTAAGATTAATAATTATAACACTGACTAAGGTTTCCATAGGAAGCAATGTCTGTGACTTACGTAATTATCACGAAGTTCTGAGAAAGTTGGTGTTTTAAATGAGGGGGCTATGGTGGAATTACTTTTCGCCCAGGGGCCGAATTTAGGTTTCTGCCGGCAGTGCAAGTATGAATATCAAATATAAAGGTGGTTAAAAAAGTTAGGACAATACTGGAATATTTTCGTTCTATGATTGGCAATAATGTTGAACCCTGGTCATACTGTAGCCCAAGGTCAGTGGGTGGTTCAGTCGTAATTGGTATATTTGTGGTTTGTACCATAAAACATTTGGAATCTTGCAGAGATAGTTTTAGGCATCTAAAGATATTAACAGTGTACCTTTTATACATCCAAGAAACAATCTTATATGTAAAAGAAACTGCACGGTTAATAAACAAGTGCATAAAGACCATCATAAACTGGTACATAAGTTACAACCCTATAACAGTAAACCATCAGTAGCAGGATGTATCTTCTATAACAAATTGCCTAACAATATAAAACAAATTTAAAACAACAATTTTAAAAAGTAACTGAAGGGGTACTACTAAATAGATGATTATCTGAATGAAGATTTCTCAAAAATTGGCTACTGATACAAGCAGATGTATAGAATGTTGTATACTCAATAAGATTATATTATAAACACTACTGCACTTTGATAATGTATAATATATATTGATAAGTCCTATATCAATGTATTTGATGTACAGGGTAAAATAAAATGAATCGAATGCTCTGTTGCCTGTCTGGATAACCAATTTTATTTTAAGCACCCTAATAAGAAACATTAAGTTTCTGTAATATGAAAACTAATCTACTTTTGTTTAATAAAAGGCTATACTTTGACACCTCTCATTGAAGTATGATAATCATGACTGGATTCTTACTTAAAACATGAGTGAGATACATAACATAATGTAGATAAAATTGGTGTGGTTAATGTACAAAAAGAGGGCTAATGGAAATACACAGTAATTTTGGTTTACAAGAAAAGACTTTTTAAATGTATAAGTCTTCTATAGCAACATCATATTGAAAATTAACCACTCAAACAGCTTAATTAAAAGACTTCACAAATGGAATTAATTCATATATCCTGATTGTGTTGCAACCGTAGATACCATCATTTTAGGTAACAGGTGAAAATGAGAAGATAACAGCCTTCCAATGGGTTGTTGAACATTGTAGTCTTGTAATTGTATACAGGCATATCATAGGAACACGCTGCCTCCATCTTCAGGGTTGAAGACTTCAATCCTTCCAAATAGCACAACACTGCAGAAGACTGCAATCTACCTCACTGCAAACTATAAAATCCTACACAAGGGGGGAAATGAGATACATCATGCAATCTTGATGGATTAGGGAAGTGATAGTTCATGCTTTGACCACTTAACCCCTAGGGAGCGCCTCCAGATAGATGCCAGTCATTCTGGACATGGGAAAGAGAAAAAGCTAAACGTCCCCACTGGAATTTAAACCGTCTTGGGAAAGAAGCAGGGCTGGAATGATGTTTATGTGGAGAAATTAAAACTGGAGGGGGGGGGGGGGGGGGGGACAGGAATCGATGGAGCAAACTGGATGAAGCTGGCCCAGGATAGAGGCCAGTGGTGGGCTTTTGTGAACACAGTGATGAACCTTCAGGTTTCATAAAGAAAGATGGCTATTCTTTGACAAGCCAAGCACAATGGACTTTTCAAATAATATCCTGCACCATACAATGAGTGAGTGAATTAAAAGCAGTGTCTCCTGTAGAAAATTATTTCAGAAATTTACTATACTTCCACTTGCAAATTAATTCATACCCTGCTTTCTATCATTTGTGGTGGGAAAACATGGACAAATTTAAAAGAAATACAGATGTACACAATTATACTCAAGACATAAATATGACCTTCATATGCCAAATACTAAACTCATTAAATATCAAAAATGAGTATACTATACAGGTTCAAGCTATTCATTAATCTTCCACCTACAATTAAAAGTTTAAATCATGTTATAAAGTATTCAAGTATGCATTAAAAGATTACCTCTTAACAGTCTACTCTCTAGATGATTTTACCTGTTGAAAATTCTGAAGTTTGTGTATATCTATATGTGAAATAAGTTCTATACTTGTATTATGGCATGCTCTACATCCTTTGGTTTAGCCCAAAGGACCTATGGAAAGTAAATAAACTATAACCCAAACAACAATTTCTGGAGTGCCAAAGCATGTAAAATGAGACATGAGAATATTATTCTCCACAACTTATTTCCAACAATAATACCCATTTATTATGGTAATATCTGTACACCACCTCTTATATCTAACACTACACTAGACATGTTTGTCCAGGAATACTTTAGCAATATACTATACACATTACACTATTAAATTGTAATAAAACTTGAAACACTCCAGACCTCCAAACAATAACTTACAATGGCCGGGGTTGTGGGTGACGGATGAAATGTTCTTGTACATACTACAGGAACAGTTTGTGAAACCTGTAAATAAAGTGTAAAAACCGTAAGCACAAATATGGTTGGCAATTTTTACAAAATCTGCTAGACATAACACAAAGTTTTATCAATTTACTCATAAAATGTCTAACGATACTACTAAATCTGTAAAATGAACAACTGTACATATCAGTGAACATATTTACTCGAAAAAGACTTTTACAAAACTGGCCACTACACAACGCCATTTTGGAAACTCAATTCCCACTCCATGGATTTAAAAGCACAGAAGACTACACATGTAGTACCTTTCTTACACGTTCAATTCCAGTGGATACTCGTGCTAGCTGTGGCCAGGTGTCGTGTCGTTATATATTAGTACATTTACGTATGTTTTAAGATTAATAATTATAACACTGACTAAGGTTTCCATAGGAAGCAATGTCTGTGACTTACGTAATTATCACGAAGTTCTGAGAAAGTTGGTGTTTTAAATGAGGGGGCTATGGTGGAATTACTTTTCGCCCAGGGGCCGAATTTAGGTTTCTGCCGGCAGTGCAAGTATGAATATCAAATATAAAGGTGGTTAAAAAAGTTAGGACAATACTGGAATATTTTCGTTCTATGATTGGCAATAATGTTGAACCCTGGTCATACTGTAGCCCAAGGTCAGTGGGTGGTTCAGTCGTAATTGGTATATTTGTGGTTTGTACCATAAAACATTTGGAATCTTGCAGAGATAGTTTTAGGCATCTAAAGATATTAACAGTGTACCTTTTATACATCCAAGAAACAATCTTATATGTAAAAGAAACTGCACGGTTAATAAACAAGTGCATAAAGACCATCATAAACTGGTACATAAGTTACAACCCTATAACAGTAAACCATCAGTAGCAGGATGTATCTTCTATAACAAATTGCCTAACAATATAAAACAAATTTAAAACAACAATTTTAAAAAGTAACTGAAGGGGTACTACTAAATAGATGATTATCTGAATGAAGATTTCTCAAAAATTGGCTACTGATACAAGCAGATGTATAGAATGTTGTATACTCAATAAGATTATATTATAAACACTACTGCACTTTGATAATGTATAATATATATTGATAAGTCCTATATCAATGTATTTGATGTACAGGGTAAAATAAAATGAATCGAATGCTCTGTTGCCTGTCTGGATAACCAATTTTATTTTAAGCACCCTAATAAGAAACATTAAGTTTCTGTAATATGAAAACTAATCTACTTTTGTTTAATAAAAGGCTATACTTTGACACCTCTCATTGAAGTATGATAATCATGACTGGATTCTTACTTAAAACATGAGTGAGATACATAACATAATGTAGATAAAATTGGTGTGGTTAATGTACAAAAAGAGGGCTAATGGAAATACACAGTAATTTTGGTTTACAAGAAAAGACTTTTTAAATGTATAAGTCTTCTATAGCAACATCATATTGAAAATTAACCACTCAAACAGCTTAATTAAAAGACTTCACAAATGGAATTAATTCATATATCCTGATTGTGTTGCAACCGTAGATACCATCATTTTAGGTAACAGGTGAAAATGAGAAGATAACAGCCTTCCAATGGGTTGTTGAACATTGTAGTCTTGTAATTGTATACAGGCATATCATAGGAACACGCTGCCTCCATCTTCAGGGTTGAAGACTTCAATCCTTCCAAATAGCACAACACTGCAGAAGACTGCAATCTACCTCACTGCAAACTATAAAATCCTACACAAGGGGGGAAATGAGATACATCATGCAATCTTGATGGATTAGGGAAGTGATAGTTCATGCTTTGACCACTTAACCCCTAGGGAGCGCCTCCAGATAGATGCCAGTCATTCTGGACATGGGAAAGAGAAAAAGCTAAACGTCCCCACTGGAATTTAAACCGTCTTGGGAAAGAAGCAGGGCTGGAATGATGTTTATGTGGA